ACCAGTCAATTTGCTTATGCCCACAACACCCTTCGTTCTGCCTAGGTTAGCAGAGGTGTTTTCATGTGTCCATTTAAATAATTACATTTGTGAAGAAAACTCCAGAGACTATTGCATCTGATACAGTTTTAGCTCACTCCACGAAGTCATATCAAACATCTTCTCAGCCATGTTCTGTTCTGTAGGAAATGCTGATAATCAGCCTATATATATATATATATATATATATATATATATATAGGCTGATTTATATATACACAAAGTACTTTGATATTTAGAAGATAAAAGATGTTTTAAAATGTTGCACTAAATCACGTAGCACATGAAACTGCACTGCACTCAAGGTCACAGAGAAAATTCCAAAAGCTTTATAAAGTGATTAATACCATCTGCTATAGAGAGAAACACAACAGCACCATGTTGAATGTACTCTTTGTTTATAGTGGGCCATGATGTATCTATTAACCTTGTTTGCTTGACCTTTCCTTAAAAGACTGCTGGGCAGCTCGCTGTTGACTTTTCAACAAAGACATACATGGATATACAGGCTTTGCTTCCCAACTGCAGATTAATTTTGGGCGAGGCCTGGAGGACGATGTTTGTCAGTACAAGGGCGGTCATTATGTCTGAGTGAGCGGAGGGCATAACTTAGCGCTTTCAAGTTTACGAGCCAAGTTCAATGCACAACGCTTTCTGTGAGGATCATTGATGCATACAATTAACCACATACCAGCAGCTTTGTCAGTTTCCTCTTCTAATCCCACAATAACGTTTTCTATCAACTACTAAGAGGCGATCACACATTTACCCTCAGAGTATTTTTAATTTTGGGCACAATGAAAGAGGTTTTTATCACTTTAATGATCACACTTTGCCTGTGAGCTTTGTTATTATTACAGTAAAGAGGTTTATGTTACGTCTTTGGTGCAAACAATAGAAGGCAGTAACTTCCTTGCATATCAAGCCTACGTATGCTTTCTTTACTTCTCTATTTTCAACTTGTTTCACTTTCCCTGCTGTGTTTGAGTGACTAATTCAAGTCAATAAATATAATTATTTAGGTCCAAAAGTTCTAATTTACTGTAACTGAAAATCATCCTCTGATATTCTGCTGGGCCGATCTGTTTTGCCAGTCATTTTAATTATAGATCGATTATCAATAGCTTCCACAGCTCTTGGAATATGTGTTACTTTGTTACTATTAACACTATAGTGTCAGTATGTCTTTCATGTCATCAACTGCGACCTGTCTGACCTGTGTGTCTTTTGTCATTCATCACTGTGCACTGACTCAAATAGAAGGATTGGATAACTGAAGGTGAGAGGGAGAGGAAGTGAAAAAGCAAGGGAATTCATTTTTTTGTTTTGCTCACAAGAAACACTTAACACGCTGCTTTATTCAGATTTATTAATTATTTACCAAATTAACATTCATCCTTGTTATCATTAATAATAATAATAATAATCTTTATTTGTAGAGCACTTTTCAAAAACAAATTACAAAGTGCTTTAACAAGTGTAAAGACAATAATACCCAAGAGACAATAATACAAAAACAATACAAGATAAAAGCATCAAAACATTGAAAAGACTATAATACACGTTTAAGATAAATATAAAATTAGTAAAATACAATAAAATAAAAGGGATAAAATAAAGTCAAATAAGATTGGGAAAGGCTCTCCTATAAAAGTATGTTTTAAGAAGGGACTTAAAAGAGTTCACTGACTCAGCTGACCTGATTTCCTCGGGCAGGCTGTTCCAGAGCCTCGGGGCCCTGACAGCAAACGCTCTGTCCCCCATTACTAATTTGACTTGGGAGTTCCATTGCATGTTTGTAACATGTTCAGTGGAGCCAAGTTGCTCTCCTGACTGACAAAAAATCATCTCAGTGCCACATTCTAAATTCTTTTAGAGGGCATGATACTTTGGAGTGATTTTTATTTTAACAAACTTTCCTGAGCTGGAACAACATCTGCGTCCAAAATTGAAGGTGATACAAAGCCCACTGACTTAAGAACACCATGCTCCTTTTAAGGCAGTCAAAAGATGACGAGATTTAAAAGAATGTCCTTTTTTAAAGAAGAAAAAAATTTGAAACTTAGGTTAATGCAACAGTGCTGATAACCAAACATTGTAAAGGAAGTACGGGAGAAGGATGTTTTTTTTATTCAGAGTTGGCGACTTGCAAAGGATCATCTCCACACCGACCAAAGAGATGTGCTGCTCTGTCCTGCAAAGGCATGCAGTAAAGTCCCTCTTGACTTAAAATAGTGTTGCAGTGGATTGTTTTCCAACAAGACAAAAGCCTAAACATGCATCAGAGCTCTCTGCCAGGCCAAGTGAAAGTCCAAGGAAAGGCAACAAGTGTTCAATCGCATGGCTTTCTGTCAGCAGTCACAAGACCTCAACCCCATCGAACATCTTTGGGAACATTTGAGGAGGGAAAGACTCCAAACAACATCACAAGACAGTCTCTTGGATGCTCTAACAGAGAGCTGGAATGTGGGTTTTCAAATTCTGAAGAACTGGTAGAACAGATGTCTGAGTGTGTGCTCAAATATAGACAAAATGTGGACAATACAGATTTCTGAAAGGTTTTTAAAGACCCAGAACAGTATTGCTGAAATCTGATTAATGATCAATTGTATATTATTTAGGGCTTTATCTCAGTGCCACACTAATGGAGATAAAAAAATATATTTTTCTGTCCTTATAGGCCCTCCAACCACAACTGCTGTTTTAAACACTTGAAAACAGTTTGTTTGTTTTTTAAAAACACTCACCACAATTTGACAACACACCATTATAGTGTAGGCGAGAGAAACAAAGCTTTTTGAAAACACGAAGGAATGGCTGTTGACCTTCACTAACATGGTGGGTACTTTTGTGTAGCAGCAACGTGAAGAAGCCTCCAGCTCTCTCTGTGGTCACTCATTTTTTCTTCCCCCGTAGATGATCACACAATAGAGGTATTTCACATACTGTGTCTTTATGTTGGCAGATGACTCCATGAGTATAAAGCAGTGATTTGACTGAGAATCAATGCAGCAGCTCAAGTATTACTGTTGGCCTTGGTATGGTGGCATTATTAACCCTGACAAGTTCACTAATTCACAGTTCTGCAGTCGTCTAACAATAAAACCCTAAATGTGTCAAAAGGAAAACCTGCACTGTGTGTTTGGCTCTACTGAACACAATAAAGAAGGGATCACAGAGAGTTGGAGGTGACAGAACTCAATTTGAACCTGCTGAGAGAGAACAAGCACAAACTGTCCAGACGTGTTTGTCAAAATTGTCAATTGATTACCAGATCCTCACCAGATGATGGCTGCAACGCACTATTTCATTGTTTACCAGCTGAAAGAGGAGAAAGCAGAAGACATTTTATCATTTCACTATCATTTTAAATATGGAAAGTAAACTTTTAAGTAACAATGTGCAAGCATTAGGATTACATTTGAAATTCAAGGAGCATTTTCAAATGGATTAGTGTTTACATGACATAGAGTAATCAGACTCTTGGAGTGCATGTAAAAGCTTTATCCAAGTTTTTACACCTCATTTACAGTAATATGGTTTATTTTGTTTTCAGTGCTTCAATCTTAAGAAGCACGTCAGTCAAAGCTAGCATCTATGTGTTTTTAGTCTGTTAGTCCCCCCACCCCACCAGCAACCACCTGTAGGCTCTGCGTCTAAGGCTCAGGGGGAAAGTTATGATTACGGCTTGTGGGGTTCGTCAAGGTTAGAGCCATGCGGCAAACGTCAACGCTGTACATTTTTTACATTCACAAAACAATATATTCTGCTTGAGTTGGCTAACTGAAATGCACTCATGCAAGACGACGTGTTTTTGGTGTGAACGGAGCTGTCCACCTTTATGCTTTCTGACTTTCTATATCTGGAGTGGGAGGAGTAAGGAAGAGTACACCTCCACCATTTTAACCAAGGAATGTATCAAAGACCAAAACCCACTTTGTTTTTGTCTATACCTCTCAGTACTGTCTGATTTCTGTGCAATCTTAGCCCATTGTTTACTACTCAAGACGTCAATCTTTAAAAATGTGTCACGAATAAAAAGCTTCACTTTAAAAAAAAAGACGTAGAAATATGTCCTAAAACAGCTGGACAATGTTGTGTTTAACAAATGTCACTGAAAGAAGAGTGAATTGGGCCTTTGTTGACAACATGAAAAATTAAGAATATAAACCAGTGTTACCCTTGCTCTCAAAGCTCATCCCAAAATGGTTATTATAACCTGTGAGTCATCTTTGGCAACACAGGTTGACAACATAGAAATAGCAGCGTTGCGGGGGAGAGTGTGTGATGTTTGACTGACGTTTCTGTGGAGACGGTGGATGAGCAGCTCTCCGAAATTAAGTAGAGGCCACCCTACTTCCTCTTCCACAGGGCAATATTTTCAAGTGTAATATCAACGTTATTGCGACAGCACTGTGCCAGCGCAGCATTTTAGTGCTGACAAGTGAAGTTTTTATAGTCAGCGTGGGTTCACCAGCTATTACTCTCCACCTGAGCACCTGTGAAGCTCTGTAAAACTGGCCCACTTACTCATACATGCCGCTTTTTTCTTTAATGTTTCAGCAGCAGAGCGGTGAATTTGGCAGATGTGCATCTTTTATGATCTCATGATGATGGCTCATCCTGTAATGTAGGAGCAAAAAAAAAAAAGTTTTCTCCCGGTCTGAGACATGAGTGTAAAGAATCCATAATTTGATTTATGCTGTCCCCAGTGGGACTCGGAGGAGTCTGCTTCCCCAAGATAGGAAAGAGAAGTCAGTGGAAAGAAGAGGTGAAGAGAAAATCATGTGATTTATGTGTTTGGCCAGATCATAAAGGGACTGCTGTCCAAAGATTTATTGAATCAGGACTGGAATGTGTTTTTGGTGCAGAATAGGTGTTGCTTAGTAAAGGTGAAGAAGAGGGTAGGACCACAAATGTTACTCTTTTAACTTTAATAATGTCAACACACACACTCCGTGCACAATGGAGAACATATTTATTTTAGAATAAAAGTAGTTTCCATAAAAAATTTACATGTACACATTTAACTATATGCAGTACATGGGCTACCTGCCTGCTTTATCAGCTGTTTTTATCTTATATTTATAGATGTATTCGTGTTACGGTTGAATGTGGAGATTCAAATGAGTTTACTAAGAAAAGAAAATCTCCCATAAAGACCAGGGGGAATCGGAGGAAACTCTCTCTGCCCACAGTTTAAAAAATCCACCTACCAACAACTTTATGTCACTAATTAACATGCTATATCTTGTTTAAAATACTGTGTTTTTACATGGGGGTTAGTGCACGTGCCGTAACTAGCTGATTACTTAGCATCTTCTCCACTTGTTGTCTGACAACCTCATGGTCACAGCAGGTCTGTGAATTACACAAACATTATACAAATTGTTAATCGGTGAGCTTTAGAGATGCTGGTAGGTATATTTTCTCCCTATTTCCAGTGTTTATGCTCAGCTAAGCTAACTGGTTGCTGGTCCTAGCTCCATGTTTATTCATTCAAGTCACGCCTCCTCCATAAATATACAAATACTCTTTGTTGTCAAATGTTTTGGCTTCATGAGAGTTGAAATAAAAATGATGCAATAAACAAAGGCATCACACCACATACACCTCCCTCTCTGTAATTCAGGAGTGTTCGATATTTAAATGTGCATGTGTTTTGTTTTCCTCACAGGGAAGATTACGCATCAATATGACATTTTTGCTGTGTCAGTCTCATCTAGTCTGAAAATTAAGGACTGTCAAAGGTTTTCTCAAGACAATCTCCTTAAATAGGAAATAAAAATTTGAAAGCTACAGTTTCGGCCACCATGTTAATTTTGTTCAACTGTGTCCATAACTTTCAAATCAAATTACACAGAGGATCCATAATTCCTAGTGCATTTTGGCCTCATGACAAGAAGAAGAAAATCTATCATTCACAAAACTGCTGTGACGACATTGATACTTCAGAGGAAAATTAATACAGCTTATGAAATCCTCTGCAGTCTGAATCTGCAGTTGCTAACATGTGAATCAAGAACCACAGTCGAGGTAGAAGTCTCATGCCGGGCCACTTAAGTTGATGATTGTCACTCTGAAACTGTTTCGGTGGTCAGCTCTCTGACTTTTGCTTCCAAATGGTCACGTAGACCCGCAGTTTGCACCACGACATTTGACAAACCTCAGGCAAATAGACTTCCACAACAACATAAATGACAGTACTCCTGATTTTTATGCAGTCTTTCTACTGCTTCACTTGGCATGCCCCAGCAGCCTGCTACAGTCATAAATAACTTAACAGCTTATGAAAAACACTGTAAATAGCAAAGTCAAGTGTTTTTGTTTGATGCGGGTGAGGGCAGTCAGAGATAAATCTTGAATATTACCACTGCACCAATCAATGATTAAAATCCTGAATCTCCTCCAGGTATTCTGCATGTTGTTAAAATAAGAAATAAGAGCCCTGATGACTTAAATAAAAATTAAAGGCGTCTCTGAACAACTGCAGCTTCTCCATTGACAGCATTTGGGAAACAAGTGCATGTATATATGTATACCACATGACATCTGTCTGAATCTTTACAAACAATGTTTACATTCAGTTATAACCCATATATTGGTTAATTATAAGTTATTGTATGTGCGTTTTACCATAGGTTACTACAACAACCACATACACGTTAAAGGACTTCATTGGCCAGTGAATACAGTAACCACCACTTCAACATCAAAGAAGGTCAACAGTACCAAACACTGACAAAGACTGTATCGTCTCACCAGAAGATGCTATTGATTGCATTATGGGAAGTGTAATATGATTGTGAGTCTTTATGTGGGTGCACCACTGAATCACCGGAGTGCCCCTTTAAACATAAAAAAAACAACAACTAGATTTTGACATAGGGCTGTAAATCAAACCTCAAAATCAGGTAAAAATGAAGAAGCCAGGCTGTACCACTTCAGTTTATATTGTGCATTGGTGGTGAATATTACCAAACAATTTTGCATTTTATAAAATTACTGTAAATTAATTTCCAAAGAGTGAACCTATGGCCCTGTTAACCAGTGGCCTGCTTTTCCCAGCCTGGCATCCAGCCTCGATAAAAGTAAAACAATTCCTACAATATTTGCACATAACACAGAGAAGAACCATACATTACAGTGTGATGAACCTCTGCTTGTGGAGAAGTGATTTGTGTATACACAGTTTATCACAGAATATCTTTTTCGTGTACATTGCCTCTCACTTTTCAATATGCAAATGCTCAATCAGGTAAATGACTTGATAGAGATGCAAGGGCATGTTCTTCACAATGCCCGTGTTATAGACGCAATATTACATTTGTTCATTATGAAAAATGCTCCTTGTCACAAAGAATTCACTTCAAACACCAAAGTTCATAGCGGCTCCTGAGCAGTTTGAGTGAATACAGATTGGTCTGGCATTGAGAATAAAAAAGACAGCAAAAGTCACAATGGGTGACATTGTACATTAAATACGACAACAGGAGAACACCACAACAGTATCCTGCAAATTAAGACAATTAACACCATCTAAATCAGTATATAATATCAATATATACCATCAACTTTAATAACTATTTCACTTTCACCAAATCCCCTAGTAACAAACCTGTCACTGTTTACTTTTTCAATGCTATGTGTATTCATGCCTTTCTTTTAGTTGACCTCCACATGATAACAGGACAGTGGTGTTAACTGATGTATATTATTTAAAAACCAGCCCATGAATATTATAGTACATCCACTGCCCCACCGCAGGCCTATCACGATGGCCTGAAAGACACTTGTTTGTCTTTATTTTGGTGAGACACTGGGTGTAAAGCAGTCATTCGTGTTTTACAGTGCATTTTCCAGCAATTAGAGTCTAAAACAAACAGAAATCAGCTGTTCTGTCTGAGACTAGAAATAGCAAAATAAACATGTTTCGTCAAACAGTGTGCTAACCGTACAGCATGTGCCATCCATTCTATAGCCATTAGCAAACACTCGTACGAGACAGGAGTCGGCAGCATGTAGTTATGTTAGTAATGAACTTTTGACTTGCGGGGTGAGCTGACATGGGACTTTCAAGTCACGTATCCGACATGTTGTTGTTTGGATCAGCTGTGAAGTGTTTCTCTAATGTTTAACAGCCATCAAATTACCACATGCGTTTCTAGTTCTTTCTTCTACCAAACAATGACTTATTTGATTATTGGGATAAAAGGGTTTACTCGTTACTAATGGCTTTCTTAATGGTTAATAAATCATTTACGATTTTATTTTGAGCCATTAATAAGAAACATTTTGGGTTGCCAGGTTGTGAACTACCTCTGACTGGTTTGGCAGATCTATTTTTATACAATTTATTATCATTAATAACTGCAGGCTGATTACAAAGTGATAAACCCTTGATAATTTATTAATGGATTACCAATATTTATAACTGCATTATTACATCATAGAAAGGATTTTAAAAAACAGCTAATTAGATTTTTTTTTTTTTTTTTTTTTTTTTACAACTGTGGCTCTATTAATGGTTTATAACTGATCTTTAAAGCATTGGGATATTATTAATAAACCATTAATAAAGACATTGGTAACAACTTATAAGCCCTTAAGTGTTCCTTATTAGAAAGTATTGTGATTGCAGAAGTCACAATGTGTGGAGCTAAATGTTCCATCAGCATCAAGCTGGGTAATAATAGTATCTTAACATTTCACACTTGAACATGCTCATGTTTGCCAGTGACAGATCTCACTTCAGTGTTGTCACTGACCAGTAAGACTCTGGGACGTAGCCTGCGGTTGATAAAGGTTTAACCAAAGCTCCCAGTCCAAAAGAAAAAAGAGCCACATCTGAGTCTATTCTCATCCGTGCATCTCTGAAAGTCAGTGCTGATATTCCCTCCAATTTTGGCTCAGAGACAGTTGCTTTCCTTTTTAGCCTGCTCACCTTCCTCTGAGCAGTAGAAGTAATTTCTTCTTCCTTAGATTTTCTGTTGAAAACCTTTTGTTATTTTTTTGTTTTGTTGTTGCAAAGGGACAATACATAAACACAGACAGGAATAGAGATATAAAATACATACAGAGGAAAAAGGTTTACAAAATATAATAATAGATATGATGATATATGCAATCCAGTTACCTTTGCTAAGAATGGTTATGCAGGGCACGTGTGTGTGTGTGTGTGTGTGTGTGTGTGTGTGTGTGTGTGTGTGTGTGTGTGTGTGTATAAGACAAATAGAAAAAAAGAGAAAACAGAAATGTAATCTAAACTAAACTACAGAAGTGTGATAGCAACACTGAAATTGGCGCCTCTGGGCATCACCTATGGCACCACCGGGGTACTTGGACTCAGGAAGCTGTCAGCTGGGTTGGGACTGCTAGTTACACAATTATACATGGTTATCTGTTTAGGGACATACCCAGACCCTTGGGAGGTGCTGGTCTGTTGCAGATACTTTTGTATATATGTATGTATGTAATATACCAAACCCACAGGAGTGAGCCAGCTCAGTCGGGACAGGGAAATATTTGTATAAGTATAAGTATATAAGTATAAGTATAATATAAGTGTATTTTTAATCTAGTGGACCCAGTCCCTGCCATCAGGTGACCACAACCCCCCTGCTGAAGCCACGGCGGAGCCAGAGGTGCTGCATCACCACCAGCACTTGTTCATTAACCACAGTTGGGACTGGGGAGAGGAAATAAATCATTCAATAAATGTTCAGGTTAGCAACAACAGACAATTTTGTCAATAAATGAGGACAGGAGAAATTGGGATGAGTTAACAAATGAAAAAATAAGTAGGTGTAGAGAAGACATGTGTATGTGTGTGAGTGTTTGGCTGTGCACACAGCAGGGGCTGGTTCAAATAGTGCAAGCTGTCAGGGCCTGCCGCTGTTTGTGGCAACTGCCATCGCTGCAGAGGAGATGCCATGGCAACTGTTACTGTTTTTGGCATCTGTTAGTGAGATACAGCAGTTTATAGTTTATGAATCTTAACATTGTTGTGTTACAGTTGCTATTAGTAGCATTTCCATGAGGTGAGTTTTACATTAATTTGCAAGGTTTTCCTTAAGTTATTTAAGCAAAGGATCTGTACAGTTATACTACAATATAATTCTAAAATAAATCTTTCAAATGCAAAGATGATGACACCAGGGGGTCAAATTCAAGTCAAAGTCAATCAAATATGTACAGATAACACCATTTGACTTATATTACAGTTATGTTGCAATGCTGAGGAAAGAAAAACTGGTTGATATCTTTTATAAAAATGAAGTGTAACACTTCTGTGCTTACATAATTGAAATGCTATTACTTCTCAGAGTTCAAAGCATGATCACATTAGGGGGTCACATTATTTTTCTTATTTCCAGACCGTGATCAGCAGAACACTAGCAGTGGTAGCTAACAGTGGCACTTACAGAAACTGCTGCGGACCTACCGCTGTTTGTAAAATAAACCAGCTGTTGTAAACTACATATGATCAATCAGAGATATAAAGCCCTCAACATGTGTGTGTATATATCGCTTAAAATCATGTACAAAGGGTTTTCTATAGGTGAATATTTTTCTCTGTTGTTCAGTTAATACATCGGAAAAAACATCCCGGTAATGAAGACAGTATTCAGTATTGTTGTTCACTCTCTTTATTAACCCCTTTTTGCAGTTAAATGTGGCTGCTTAATAAGTCTTCTTAATAAGAAAAGTCTGTAACTTCTTTTATCCACAACTTCTGTAGGAGATGGCCAAATTGCAGCCATCAAATGTTTGATCGTCTTTCTGTATTGTCCTTACTGATTTCACAGCATTAACAATACATTCTAATCTAGATGTTGACAGAAAAAAATAGCAGGTAAAGGAAAAGTAAAGGTTATTTTACTTTCTATGTATTGACTATAGAAACTAAGAAGGATGAAGCCAGGGCTTGCTCAAAAACTCCTGCTGTTGCTAACATTCCTTAATGGTACATAAGTTACTGGCTACTCATTGCTGAAATTCATCAATGGTGCACTTTCTGTGATATAGTTTTTGAAACACTTGAGAAACTCATTAGTAGTATTATTCACTACAGATGCATATTAGCATCAGCAAACCTCACCAAATGTGTGCATGTTGACATGGAGAGTAAAACAAAACTAGTTCCAAAAGTTGTTTACAGGAAGTTTATAAAAAAAAGTGAATATAACTTGTCAGTGAAACCAACATTAAAATACACTGTCACAATGATGATTTGGCATATTATTTGATTTGAAGTGATTATTTAAAAAATAAACAATAAACTTTGATATCTCACCAGCAGATGCCACAAACATTCCCAAGTTGTAGGAGGACAAAAATAAATTGGAAATAAATACAAAACAAGCATGAATTCGCAACAGCTGCCACCATGTACACGCATGCATCCGCACCTTCATGCATTCACACACACAACCTCTCAAACACTTGACCTCCATTGCAAAATTAAGCCTCATACACAGAAAGTTGTGGTTGCTATGGGGTGGGCAGAGCTTTGTGTGCCTTTTTGCAATAGGCCACTCCCATTACCACTCCCCCCTTTTAGCGAATTGGCATGAACACAAATACACACAGTCAAACACACACCTTCATGCCAAATGTCAGCCTCCCAGGGCGAAACCAGTGGCCGCCAAAGGGTCGGGATAACATAACAATAATAACAATATTACCATGAATAACACTGAGTAATATGTAATATATATATTTTTTTTTGGCATGATTATGTGAGTGAGTGAGTGAGTATGTGAATGAGTTTTAGTCATGTTTGATATCGCTGCTCAAGCTTCATACTCAGTTTTGTGTGTATGGTCGCAATTCAAAACATCTTTGTGATTAAATGACAGTACAGCGGTAGTTGGGATCATTGGTCGTACTTGAACCGTCCGTTTTGACCACCGTGATCTTGGATGAGTGCTGAGTGCTGTGCAGCACGTTTCTGTAGCAAAGACGCTCGCGGTAATTCTGGGCGAAGATGAGCAACATGAGTGGGTTGATGCAGCTGTGGGAGTAGCTGAGGCAGATACTGATGTTGTAGGCATAGATGAAGGCAATAGTCGGGGTGTTGTTGCTCAGGTTGATCACCTGAATGACGTGGTAGGGTGACCAGCAGATCAGGAACAGGGCGATGACCATGAGCACCATCTTGGTGGCTCTTTTAGCCCAAACAGACTGCTTACGTTTGACACGACGGATGGAGCTGAAGACGTGGTAGAGGGTGAGTGAGTAGAAGGTGCTAATGATGATGAGAGGGATGATAAAGCCCAGGATAGACTGGTAAAGAGTGTACCAGTACATGTCCTCGGGCCCATCCAGGTACATCATGCACACCTCCAAATGCTGTCTGCGCACAACCTTGGCATACATCATGACCGGGACGGTGAGGAGCAAGCTGCCCAGCCAAACCAGCAGGTTGATGATGATGGTCCACTGGATGGTCCTCTTCTCTGAGGTGGGGTGGACAATAGCTATGTACCTAAGAGGAAGATGTCACTTTCTTAGAGCTGGACTGCTTTCAAATTTGCTGAAGTGCATGCAAAGAACATTAGTTTTGCTTTAAGAGGTCATTTTCATCCCTGACAAGTTCAGAGAATCAAATCAGTAAGGGGGAATGATGAAACCAAGTACCATGTCAGAGATCTACTCAATATATTACATGCTCAGTAAAGTGATGAAGTCAGTGACAAATTAATATAATTGAGACAGGGTGACTTATCAGAAGAAAATGAAGACATTTCCATTTGGATTTTGCATTTGATTGTGTTTCAATTTGGGGAACTACTCGGCTGCTTTAGTCAAAATTGACCTCAGTCTTTAGGACATCTGCAGGAAATGAATAACTACTTTGTTATCACACCAAGTGTCACTTCAGTAGACTAAATTACATATTTCCAGTTTCTGTCAACATGTTAGATGTCACTCTGGTGTAGTGCCTGTCTGGTGAGATTTAACAGGCCTATAAACTATTTAGAGGGCGACATTCTTGCAATTTTCTCCAGGACTTCCTGCTAAATTGCAATTATCTTTGACCATAAAATAAATAGTTTAGTATTCTGATCCTCAACAGAAGCTGCTGCCCGTGAAGTTAAATAAATATACTTTTGGTGTGATGGTTGAATCAGAAAGTGAAATTCAATACCTTGTCTCTGACCGACTGATGTGTTGCCGCAGATCAGCCAAGTTAGATATTGATATGATCAAAAACGTAGGCTTCAGACTGCCAGAACTCCAGTGCACTAAATGTTTGATGTCGGTGTAGATGTGGTGTGGCTATATATATTTAGGTTTATAGAGAGGAAGAATCAGGATCTCACTGTGGTGTAAGGAGAAACAGCATCAGAGGAAAAAGGTTTGGGTTTCTTTTGACATCATCCACATTGAAAGTATCTCGTTGTAATGTTTTATTCATTGTGACCCTATACTAACCCTGTATGGACCTAATATTAACACACCCAACGAGTAAAGTGAGTCTTCAACAAATGTTTCGCACTTATGTTTAACTCATCTGTGATTTGGAGAACAGGATCACGTTGATATCCACAAAACTGCCGTGAAATGAAATTCCACAGCGCCCTGAGATAAAGCGGAATTACCAGAAATAACTTTTTCCTGTGTTGCTTAAAACAACCCTGTCTTTGTTGGCGATAGAGGTTTGAGTTGTCAGTGACCGGACATATGTGTTTTCAACAGATACGATTGATATATTGATATACGTTAACTTGTTGACTGTGACTACACTGTGCTGCTAAACTCAGATAAACAACTACAAATGTGGTCTTGATTATACAGAACAAGGCTGTATAGACCAGCCATGTGAAAGGTTTTAAACACGAAAGTTAGGTTGCTTTTTGTAATTTTTCTTATTTGTTTGTTATCATTAGTTAAATCTCCTTTTAACATGACATTGCAGCCATAACTTGTTTTGAAGGTGTTGGAGATTAGTTATTGAAAGGGCTGTTTTTGTAACCTTTGTAACTTTTCAAAAAAGTATTATTTGAAAGGATAAAGTTGAGTTATAGTGAAGTCAAGGCTAGATACTCCAATACAGTATTGATAAAATGATAATGATAGAAATGAAAGTAATAAAATGTTATGGAGCCAATAAATAGATTTTCCCCCTACAGGTAGTGTTGTTCATAAGAACACAATTACTGGCTCTACAGAAACACATTATGTTTATTATACTGAAGATGTGTGACGTTATAGCTCTGAGAACAACGCCTGCTCCGGTGATTACCTTCAAATGAAGATGTTTATCAGTCTAACACTTGGCAGAAAGACTAATTTAGATGTCATCACTGTGTTCAGATCATAAACATGACACATACATTATTTATGCAGGGAACATTGTGTCTTCATAGGCTGTTGCACAGATGATTAACTCAGTCATTGCGATATTGTACTGTTTAGTGACTTTGAAATGATGGCACCTGAAATAGGGGCTAATAGGGGGGAATTAAACTTTTACCTTAATTGTCGTATTTATTATTATTATTATTATTGAATTACATATAAATAAATTCATGTTATGAGGCAACATTTGATTTTGTCGTCAAAGTGTGATACTGCAGTGCTTCAAAGAATAGCTCTTACCTTTTAAAAGAAAAGCAATAAAAGTCTGTGTCGTGGATGGGTGTAACACTTACCGATCAATGCACAACACTGTAACAATTCCCACTGTGGTAAACTGGTTGCTGACATCCACCACCACAACCGCTTTACACATAAAGTTTCCGAACACCCACTGTCTGTCTCTCACCAGCTGGTGAATGTTGAAGGGCATCACAAGCAAGAACAGCATGTCGGCTATTGCCAAGTTCAGCACGTAGATATCTGATACCATTTTCTTCTTGCACGCTTTCACCGCGTAGATGACCAGTCCATTGGCTATAACTCCAACTGAACACAGGATGCCATAAATTGAAGGGAATATGTGCATGAAAGTGGTGATGTCGATGTGGCTGTAAGTTGAGGGGGTTGGCTTCAGACATGACGGGTCAGTCAAGTTGCCTGTTTGGTTGTTTTTGCAAAAAATGTCCGTGTCATTCATCTTTAGATCCTTAAAATAATCACCTCTGTGTGGCTGTAATCACAACGCGCGCCAAGCGCTCTCCAGCAGGCGTCCGGTCTCCAAACTTGGGCAGAAAACTCGCGCACTCTCCAAGAGCGCGTAGCCTTTCTTTGAGTTCGTCCCTGCGTGGATTCCTTATCAAAAATTATATTATTTAAAACAGGAAAACTTAGAATATCACCAAGTCTGACTATATAAACAATGTCAGTCCCTGGAACATGTTGATCTCGGGAAGCAAACTAAGATATGACCATTGACCGTGTGCATCCGCTGTGCGCTTTACCAAACACTGTGTGCGCCTCAGGGGACACTAGTTCCCTCCCTTCAAAGATAATTCGATGTGTCAAGCAATTAGACAAAAAAAAATGAAAATAAGTCACTTTAAAGGGAGCTAAAGGGAAAGCTTGGCCTACTTTCCATCTTGATAACACATTTAAATTAAGGAAGAGAGTAGACAAACTGTTTCAGTGATGTGTTTTGGTGCAGTTGCAATTTATAGCAAATCAATGTTTATGTTGTTGTGTGATAAATACATAGATAACAAAGGCTTCCATGTTTCAGCTTAAAGATAGTAAAATGAAATAATCAATAATACTAAAGATAACAATTACCTCTTTATGGTTACTTTAAAAGGAGTTGAGGCACTGTGAGGATGAGGATGGAGAAATATAGGAGCCTTTCACTACAAAATATACCTGCAAAATTAAGCCACAGTTTTCAATAACCTTTACACAAAAAGAGATTTGAATTTCGATTAAACATTCATTTCTGGAGGGCCTTTTTGTTGTTCCAAATCACGATTAGCTTCAGCTTTAGGAAATTGAACTGATTAGGGTTATCACTAACAATTACACGTTTTAATGGTGAACATGCCCTATAGGCTGCTGTGTAACCCTCATACCAAAGATGAGATTTTCTTTGGAGCATTGTTCGGACATCATTGGGAATCAGCTTTAAAGGACAGTAGCTGGTCCAGAGTTTGAAGCAACTCAGAAGAGAGAAAAGGGCTCTGCTGAGATCTGACCACAGGTCAGCTGGAATATATGTGAGCTTTCCTCAGTGCTGGTTTCATGTATAGCATTTGCTCATTCCCAACGATGCTCCTTTTCTGTTCCAACTACTGTTTAAAGTGCACAATAATGTAATTATTTTCACACAGACCTTCATGCAAAAATCATTTTGGGACATTGGGCCATTCTCATTGGTCCAGAACACACAGCCGAACTGCGTCAATGAGTTCTTTGAATTTAACTCCGTCACCTACTGACAACAAAAGAAAATCTCATACTGAATAACTTTCACATTATTATTTAGATTCTATCTTCTTGATCTCTTCGATTTAGATCTGTGAGCGTAAGCCTCTCTTTACCAGAGAAAAAAACAAGAATTGTTAAGTGTGGCTATGAATATAGTACCTACAATCATCTGGAAGACTAACAGCAATGACTGACTTGACTTTTTATCTCAGATACAGTGGGGACTTGCATCCAGTCCCCATGATGGAAGTCCTCTGCTTTGCTCAAGTGCTCTTGAGCAAATTCTTGTGGCTCGGGGATAATCAATTTTTTGTATGTATGTGTTGCATGAGATTCTAACTTTTACACTAGATGGCTTGCCATGATGCTTTGCACAGACATTCAGGGTGTGGCACAAAATTCTCGACCCACAGCTATTCACTGTAGTACCTTTGTGGGCTCTCATCACATAAGGGCCCTGCATACTCAATTTACTTTACTTACTCAATACCCTTTGCCCCCCCCCCCCCCCCCCCCCCTTTTCACAACTTGCCAATGGGAAAACTAAAAAAGAATAATTTCAAGTGAGTCGAGTTGAGCCATGCCGTGCCAAGCATTGAAAATGAGGCGTTACTGTTACTGTGATTGGTGATATAAATACTTGGACACAAAAATTATATTATTATACTTATTGGTGGTGATGGGGCAGTGGATAAGCTGTATGTCTTTAGTGTGAGAGACCCAGGTTCAACTCCCCACTGTAACATATCTACCAATGTATCCCTGAGCAAGACACTTGAACTCTAGTTGCTCCAGAGGTGTGTGACCTCTGACATAAACAGCAATTGTAAGTCGCTCTGGATATAAGCATCAGCTAAATAATTAAATATGACTTTAACTGTATATTATTTGTCAGCTGCTACTTGAGGCTGAAACCATCATCAATCTATTGTGACCCTGGTGGAGAAGATGCTCGCTGTGAAAAAAGAAACTTTGAATTTGATTATTAATAAGAAAGTTGAATACTTTTCCAAAGTTTAAATGTCAGAACCACTGACAGCCCAGTGGTGTCTGGGTAAGGTTCATGTTAATTTCTCAGTGAAGTATAGCAATGATGGTGAAGGAATAATGATCAAAACTCTAACGGGTCATGAAATGTTAAATTCCATTGGCAGCAGATTAAACCTTCTCTGGTGCAAATTACGGTCGGTCTGTCAGATTCACACACATTAAAAAATTTCATCCTCAACAACCAGTTGTCTGGAAAAAGTGCCATAATTGCAGTAGGATGCTAATGTCAAGATTTAGCTCATAAAAACGTTTACCCTAGTGGACTTCATTTATCCAAAGGTTCATGAAGTGGGCCTATGGCTGTTACAAATATGCTCCAAACCCCAGCAGTGCACCTTTTCTTTACTTCAGCAACTGCCACTGTGAGTACTGGTGCAAGATGGGGTTAGTAGGGTCGTACTTCCCATCTGCTCAGTGGCCGACTGTGGAGGACGGTGCTTGCCCTGATCAGGTCCTGAGTGTCAAGGTGTGCACCTGTGTGACTGTGAAGCAGAACATCCCTGAAAAAGAGCAGGAACGCTCAATGAAACTCCAACCTAGAGGAAGTGAATAATAAAGGTGACACAATAAATAAGCCTGTATTAGTGTTTTTTTTATATTTTTATTTAACCTTTACTTTACCAGGAAAAGTCCCATTGAGACAGAATCTCTTTTACAACGGAGATCTGGCCAAGAGGGCAGCACAATTAAAAGATCTTTCAGCACGGTTTAAAATAAAATACAATGCAATAAAATACAAAAACACAACTATTTAAAAAATACATACACAAACAGGAATGACAGAGATACATAAGCCACATAACTTGTTGGATTAAGTGTGAGGGCACGTGCTTATGTAAGTTAACGTTTCCGAGATCCTTTTGTAAAGACTTTTATGGCCAGTTTAAAGGTAAAAAGTAAACCAAAGGTTGGTCTTAAAGGTCTAGTGTATAATATTTCTGAGGCTCTATTGACTGAAATGCAATATAAGATCCATAACTATGTTTTCAGTGGTACATAATGAAACATTATGTTTTTATTACCTTAGAATGAGACATCTACATAACCACGGGTATCCCCTTCTATGGAGGTCGCTGTATTTTGTCATCATTTTTCTACCGTAGCCGTCAACGAACAAACAGCGCTACAGAGCGCGTTTCGTCATCACTGCGTTCTTCTTCTGCTTGTATAAAGTGGTAGTGTAGACGCCCATCACTACATTGAATACATACAAAGAAGAAGAAGAAGGACTAATAATATTAGTAATATGCAGTCTCCGAGTAGTCTTCTGTTTTTTTTAGAAGTAAGAAGAGAAGTGACATTTGGACAACTGAAGGAGCATTATTTAGCACGAGAGCCAGACGTGTTTCCCCTGTCTGTGGGGTGAAATATGGATTAATTTCATGGCACCTAACGTTACTTATTCTCCAGCCTGTGGTTTAGCTGTTATGGCTTTGTTATGTGCACAGAAATGCGCCATTACCTCCTGAGATAAACAGCTGATGAATGTTATTGGTAACAGCAGGGAAGCTCAGATCAGCAGCTAAACTTCACATTTTACTGCCCTGGTGGAAAACATGTATTTCCTTTTACTGCTAATGGTGATATATAACAAGGCCTTGTGCCTATCAAGTGACCAATAATAAATACTTTACGAATTTGCATTAAAAAATGTTATTGGATTTCGCGTCCCACTGTGCACACAAATATGTCATTTGTACTTTCACATGCTAAGTGCCCATTAAAACGTTTCACCGTTTTACCACAAGCTGAAGTTATGGCTGTCAGTACTACTTTGTGTTTCTGTTGTATTTCAAAAAATTCAAAAGACATTTTGGTAATATTTGCAGATTGCTTATCTAATTAAGCAAAGTCAGAGGAGCTTTGATCCTCACCAGCCAATGCCTTTGTAAACTTTATGTATTATGTGGTTTATAATGGAGTGTGGTGCAGAAACAGTGAGGCTTACATTGTCCTGGTATCTGTCATACTTGATGCACTAGATGTGATAGTGTTTGAGACTTTCTTCATTTACTTTGGTATGGTAGTCCAGATGAGCCAACCCTCCCAAGATGTAAAATAATGTATTACAGGAGTATGACACGTCACGTAGCACTTCATTTCTTTATGTGGCTGTTGTTTATTAATGAAAAAGTAACAATAATATTAAAAAAAAAACATTTGGTTTTAAATAATGTATATAATTTCTTAACACATCTATCTAAAGAAACCTAATTTCTTGACTGGCAATCTCTTTTATCTCATAGATGATATCTTTGTCCTGTCTCAGGCACCATAGCTATACTGCTCGCTTGGGTAGGGGAGGGGGGGTGCAATTCGCAACCCTCACCACTAGGTGCCACTAGAACTTACACACTGAACCTTTAATTGGGAATAGTTAATCTTAGCTTAAAAGTTGGCTTTTTAAAAGACATCTTAGACATGGATGAGTTACGTCTTGACAATAAAGTCCTGGGCTTCTTAATTGGATCCACCTAATGTTAGTCCTCATTAATGAGTACACCTCACTGGCCTGATGCAGCCAATAAAAGCTGGAACAGATCACATCAAGCCCACAATATGGTGGCATCAGAGGAGCAAAAACAGACAAAACAATTTCAGGCCTCGAGTAGTGCATTAATGTCCATGTGATGTGAAAATAATGCAGCAAAATGATTGCGTGGGTCGCTCCTGTCAATAACAACTTCTCTGGTTCGCTCACTGAAATAGACAAAGTAATGCATGTGCCATCCATGTGACAACACAGCAATATTTTGAAATTAAACCTGCTTCTTTGGAGGTTTAATTTAAGTCTTCATATTTGATTTCTTCTCAGACTGCACTGCCTCTCCACCTCAAAATGCTTGTCTTACTCTGATGTCACTGGAGCAACTGAACACTCTGCTCTTCCCGCACTTCTCCCTTTAGTCCTGAAGAGCACTAAATCTTGTGGAGAGTATAATTGCCTTTGACATTAAGCT